GTTGCTGAGCTTCTTAACCGAAAGGTCGCAGGTTTGATTCCGGGGAGCAGTGTGAGCTTCTGCTGTCAGCCCTAGCTTCTGCCAACCTAGCAATTCGAAAACATGCAAATGTGAGTAGATCAATAGGTACCGCTCCGGCAGGAAGGTAACGGCGCTCCTTGCAGTCATGCCGGCCACATGACCTTGGAGGTGTCTATGGACAACGCCGGCTCTTCGGCTTAGAAATGGAGATGAGCACCACGCCCCAGAGTCAGACATGACTGGAGTTAATATCAGGGGACAACCTTTACCTTTACATGGGGGTTCTGTGTGGAAAGTTTGGCCCAATTCCATCATTGGTGGGGTTCAGAGGGCTCTTTGATTGTAGGTGAACTATAAATCCCAGCAACTACAACTCCCAAATGACAAAATCAATCCTCCCCCAACCCCACTAGTATTCAAATTTGCGCATATTGGTTATTTGCGCCATTTTGGTCCAGTGAATGAAAATACATGCTGTATATTTTCATTATGATTTATAACAGTTGTGAAATTACAGTTATGAAGTAGGAACGAAAATAATGTTATGGTTGGGGGTTACCACAACATGAGGAAACGTATTAAGGGGTCACAACATTAGGGACATTATGTGTGTATGTGTGCATGTGTATATATGTGTGTGTGTATATATGTATATATGTGTGTGCATGTGTATATATGTACAGCTTGTAATGTGTGTAGATTTGGGAGGTCCCTATAAACAGATAATATATATTTATTTTTAGAGAATGTCTACAGGTATGTGTGGCTGTGTGTGTGTGTATATATATGTGTGTTTCTATGTTTGTCAGGATGTGTGTATTTTTGTGTGTGTAGGCATATGCATGTATATATGTTTGTCTGTGAATCGTTTTCTATATCTATGGGTGGATGGCCCTCTGTCGGGAGGGCTTTGGTTGTGTCCAGCCTGGTAGGAGGGGCTTAGACTGGATGGCCTTTACGGCTCCCTTCTAAATCAATGGTATCATATCAATCTATATATCTACATACGCATATGTATGAATAGTTGTCTATATCTATGGCTGCATGGCCCTTTGTAGGGAGGGCTTTGATTGTGTCCTCCTGCCCTGTTGAAGGGGGTTGGACTAGGTCGCCAACCCCTGTCTCATTCCTATATATCTATAGTATATCTCCCTGTCTCATTCCTATATATCTATAACACTATGTTGATTATATCTATGGCTCGATGGTTCTCTGTCTAGAGGGTTTTGATTGTTATCTGGCAGTGACTGGAGGCTCCAAGGAGCGGCAGAGATGACCTCAGAGAGAAGCCCAAAACAGTAGGTGAAGAAGGGAAGGGAAGGGAAAGGGAATGCCCCTTCTGCTGTGTTTTTTGTTTCGTTTTGATGAGTGAAGGACATACATTGGGTTAGTGTTTGATGGCCAAATTTGTGGTCATTTGGCCCAGTGGCTTTGTTGTTTTTAGCATCCCCACGAACATCAGGCCATTTTAATATATTAAAGATTGGTTTTTCTTTTTGTATTGTACTGTGTGTTTATTTTATGCACTGTTTTAGGCACTGTGTGCCATGTCTAAGCCGCTCCGAGTCTCTTTGGGGAGTTGGACACGGGGTACAAAAATGTTATTGTTGTCATGTATTTATTTACAGCATTTATATACCACCCTTCTCACCTCTGGGGGGACTCAAAGCGGTTTACACATAAATAATGGCAAAATTATTTGAGTCCCCCCCCCCCCAGGGGTGAGAAAGGTGGTATATAAATACTGTAAACAAACAAATAAATAAAATTCAATGCCTTAGATTGTGCACCGATACAATGCCAGTACAAACAATTAAAATAGTAAAACCACAATTAAACATAAATAACAATTAAAACAATACCTCAACAAGCATTAAAGCAATAAAACAGTCTCGTCAGTCGAATCGCCGTTCCAATCACTGTCCCTCTAAAATGCTGCATACATCTACTATCCGAAGGCCTGGTCCCAGAACCATGATTTTAATTTTTTTTCTAAAGGCCAGGAGGGAGGGAGTGGATCTTACCTCATTTGGGAGTTGTTCCCAGATGATGATGATGATTATTATTATTATTATTACAGATTGCAGAGGGTTCAAATCCCCATTTGCTCCTCCTTTTCCCTCTGCATGTGTCCTGCCAGTCTCTCTGGCCTGCTCCAGTGCCTCTTCTGTGTGAGGTCAAGCACCTTTGACCTTCTGTTCCCAATCTGACAATGCCAGGGGTCAGAGGGGATGGTCACAAGTGTTAGTGAAGCGCAAAGGTTTGAGCCACATGCATAGGTCCATCCTTGCAATTTACAGAGTTATTATCTGGGGTCACAAGCTCTACAGTGTGCTTCTTAGGAAACCAGCCTGGCATGACCCAGGTGACCCTCTCAGTCCAGCTGGCAGGCGATCCCCAAGGAAACCCCTGCCAGTGGGCTCCCAAGGTCAAAGAGGGGCCTGAAGTGGTTGCAGGGAACTTCATGCCTTCCCTCCTTCCCTTTGAGCCAGAGCGGAATCACCATCTTTAGCACATCGTGTTGATTTTGGCCACAATATTTTTTCCTGCTTCGAGACCCTTTGGGCTCGGCCAAGTGCCCTCCATCCTGGACTTCTGCACACCTGCCTGCCTCTGTTTTTGTGGCCCAAGTGTCGAATGTTGCATTGACCTTGGTTTTTCCCCTTTGCATTTGTTCCAACTCTGCTTCCATTCCTTCACGGTATAGGTTTTGTAAGAATGCCATCTCTCAAGGAAACTTCCGATGCCACTCAATGTGAAACTAATATCTCATTAAACCTACCCTTGTCTTTATATGTTTCTCAACCTCAGAAGTCGCAAGGGGGTGTTGGAGGGGTCACCAAAGACCACCAGAAAACACAGTATTTTCTGTTGGTCATGCAGGTTGTGTGTGGGAAGTTTGGCCCAATTCTATTATTGGTGGGGTTCAGAATGTCCTTTGAGTGTAGGTGAATTATAAATCCCAGCAACTATAACTCCCACATATCAAGTCCATTTTCATCAAACTCCACCAGTGTTCACATTTGGGAATATTGAGGAATTTGTGCCAAGTTTGGTCCAGATCCATCATTGTTTGAGACCACAGTGCTCTCTGGATGTAGGTGAACTACAACTCCAAACTCAAGGTCAATGCCCACCCTCTATTCTGCTTTGGTTAGACCACACCTGGAATATTGTGTCCAATTCTGGGCACCACAATTGAAGAGAGATATTGATAAGCTGGAATGTGTCCAGAGGAGGGCGACTAAAATGATCAAGGGTCTGGAGAACAAGCCCTATGAGGAGCGGCTTAAGGAGCTGGGCATGTTTAGCCTGAAGAAGAGAAGGCTGAGAGGAGGTATGATAGCCATGTATAAATATGTGAGAGGAAGCCACAGGGAGGAGGGAGCAAGCTTGTTTTCTGCTTCCCTGGAGACTAGGACGCAATGAAGCAATGGCTTCAAACTACAAGAGAGGAGATTCCATCTGAACATGAGGAAGAACTTCCTGACTGTGAGAGCCGTTCAGCAGTGGAACTCTCTGCCCCGGAGTGTGGTGGAGGCTCCTTCTTTGGAAGCTTTTAAACAGGGGCTGGATGGCCATCTGTCAGGGGTGATTTGAATGCAATATTCCTGCTTCTTGGCAGAATGAGGTTGGACTGGATGACCCACGAGGTCTCTTCCAACTCTTTGATTCTATGATTCTATTCTATGATTCATTGGAGAACGGGAGAAGTTCCAGCAGACTGGAGGAAAGCCAATGTGGTCCCAATCTTCAAGAAGGGAAAAAAGGATGACCCAAACAATGACGAATATCCGGTCAGCCTCACGTCAATACCAGGCAAGATTCTGGAAAAGATTGTGAAGGAAGTGGTCTGCAAACACTTAGAAACAAATGCAGTCATCGCTAAGAGTCAACATGGATTTATCAAAAGCAAGTCATGCCAGACTCACCTGATCTCTTTCTTCGATAGAGCTACAAGCTGGGTAGATGCGGGGAATGTGTCCAGAGGAAGGCGACTCAAAGGATCAAGGGTCTGGAGGCCCTGCGTTCGATCCCGCCTGTTTCACAGTTGCAACTGGTGGAGACAAGAGACAGGGCCTTCTCCGTCAAGGCCCCTTGGCTGTGGAACTCCCTCCCCAGCAAGGTCAGATCAGCCCCCTCCCTCCTGACCTTCTGAAAGAACATTGAAACGTGCTCTGGGATCAAGGCTTCAGAGAAGAGCCACAATGAAATAGATTAATCGGAATTATGTGCAACAACTATTAGAATAACCTGGACTATGATTGCGGATGGTGTGGTTTATAGCGATAGTAATGTTTTATAATGTTTTGATGTATTTAATGTTGATTTTAATACATAGCCTGTGTTTCTCTCAAGCACCTTCACCTGCTGCAAACCCTTTCCCCGTAACACAGGACAGGGAATAAGAGATGGAAATGGACAGGGCTGAAAAAGGCTGGCCAGGAGGGAGGCTTTCCCGATCCTGTGGCTCTGCCCAAGGAGCGAACAGCCCAATCAGGGACTTAGTTCAGAAGAGACCAATTCTGTGAACACCTCAGCATACATAAGTGTAGTTTTGGATCTACCAGGCTGGAAGGAAATGACTTTGGGAATTTGGAGTTCCTTGGGGAAATGTAGGAAATTTGGTGGCAGCAGGGGTCTAATTTGGGGTGCACAGGAAGCGGACCTGAGATCCCTTCTGGCCTGAAAGGGGGCCCAGACATTCATGACATAGTCAATAAAGGAATCATTGTGTCTCTTAATATTTATGTCGATAATTCATGGAAACCCATTATTCAGAGTGAATGGCGTGCCGTCTATGGTCTTTCTGAGTGTCTGCCTTACGTTTCTTTTGTCAATTTTAGGGTCAAGCCAACGAAATCACTGTGTCTTTTTAGTATTGGACAGCAATGGTCCCTTTTTACTTCCATCCAACATTCATTATTTTCATCCCCTCCTCCCTTATTCTCTTCTTTCCTTCAGAATCCATTCCTTATTGTTTATAACTCTAGGTTAACCTTTGCTTGAACGCAAGACCCTTCATACCTCCAGTTCTTGGTATTTCCGTTTTCAACATGAGCCATGAAGGGAAAAGAGGATAGTATTGGAAATGAAGGAGGTTTGCAGCTTCTTGTTTAATTTTCTGCTTCTTTCTCGAACAGGGAAATGAAGACCCCATGAAGTCACCTCCGGCATGATGAGAAAACATCAGCATCTAGTGGATATTTCGGAGTTTGGAAACCAAAGCGCAATAACGAAATAAATTCCATAGGAAGAAGAAACCCTCTCGAGGTGCTGATTTTTGTGGAACTCATTTCGATCAGGAAAAAAAAGGGAAGACTGAAGTGTCCATATTGCAATTAATTCTATACATAACTGTCAACATGGAGAAGAAACCATATATATGCCTAGAGTGTGGAAAGAGATTCTCTCAGGGTGGAAGTCTATATTCACATCAACGGATTCACAGTGGGGAGAAACCCTTTAAATGCCAGGAATGTGGACAGAGCTTTACTGAGAGTGGACAATTACGTAAACATCAAAGGACTCACACTGGGGAGAAACCCTATAAATGCCCAGAGTGCGGAAGGTGCTTCGGTCATACTTCAGTTCTGAATATTCATCGAAGGATTCACACTGGAGAGAAACCCTTTAAATGCCTGGAGTGTGGAATGAGCTTCACTCATGGTTCAAGTCTGCAAAGACATCAAACAAGTCACAGTGAGGAGAAACCCTATACTTGCCTAGAGTGTGGACACAGTTTCTCTAAGAGTTCAAGTCTTCTTTCGCATCAAAGGACTCACTCTGGGGAGAAACCCTTTAAATGCCTAGAATGTGGACAGAGCTTTAATAGGAGTGGAAATCTACGTTCACATAAAAGGATTCACACTGGAGAGAAACCCTATATATGCCCGGAGTGCGGAAAGTGCTTCACTCATGGTTCAAGTCTGCAAAGACATCAAAGGATTCACAGTGAGGAGAAACCCTATAAATGCCTGGAATGTGGACAGAGCTTTGCTCAATTTTCAAGTCTATGTTCTCATCAAAGCACTCACACTGGGGAGAAACCCTATACATGCCTGGAGTGTGGACAGAGCTTTACTCAGATTTCAAATCTACGTTCACATGAAAGGATCCACACTGGGGGGAAACCCTATACATGCCAAGAGTGTGGACAGAGCTTTACTCAGATTTCAAACCTACGTTCACATGAAAGGATTCACACTGGGGAGAAACCCTTTGAATGCCTGGAGTGTGGAAAGTGCTTCAGTGAGACTGCAAAACTACGTAAACATCAAAGGACTCACACTGGAGAGAAACCCTATAAATGCCCAGAATGCGGACACGGCTTCATTGAGAGAAGAGACCTACAGACCCATCTGAGGATTCACACTGGGGAGAAACCCTATACATGCCTGGTATGTGGACAGAGCTTCACTGTGAGTGGAGCACTACGCAGACATGAAAGGACTCACACTGGGGAGAAACCCTATAAATGCCAAGAGTGTGGACAGACCTTTGCTCAGACTGCACATCTACGTAAACATCAAGGAACTCACACTGGGGAGAAACCCTATAAGTGCCTGGAGTGTGGACAGAGCTTCGTTCAGATTGGAAATTTACGTAAACATGAAAGAACTCACACTGGGGAGAAACCCTATGAATTCCAGGAGTGTGGACAGAGCTTTGCTCATACTGGAAGTCTATTTTCACATGAAAGCACTGACACTGGAACAGAACCCTATTCATGCCCTTAGTGTGGACAGAGCTTCACTCAGAAACCGTATCTACTTACTGGGAGAAAAATACATCAAAGGATGCAAACTGGGAAATACCTTATAAATCCCTGCAGTGTAGAAAGACTTTCAGTTCTATTGCAAATCCATGTTCACATCACAGGACTCACACTGGGGAAAAGGCTTATAAATACCTGGAGTGTGGACAGAGTTTCACTCAGAGGGGAAATCTACATTCACATCAAAGGACTCACGCTGAGGAAAAACCCTACAAATGTCTGGAGTGTGGAAATAATTTATCTTATTGTGCAAGTCTACATTCACAATCTAGGACTCACACTGGGGAGAAACCCTATAAATGCCTGGAGTGATGACAAAGCTTCACTGAAAGTCTACGTTCACACCACAGGACTCACTCTGGGGAGAAACCCTCTACATGCATGGAAGGAATATGTTTCTTGAGAATCCTGGATGGTCATCTAGAAAGAAAATGTGAAAGACTGCTAAAATATGTGATACTTGCAGCACAAATGCTATATCCTCAGAGATGGAAGGAAGAAGTTGTCCCAAGTCAAGTGAACTGGCTGATGAAGATCTGCAAAGTGACAGATACCAAGGAACTCATGCTGTTGATTTAGGAGAAAAAATTGGTCATTGTCAAGAAACAGTGGGATTTTAATTTCACTCTTTCCTGACCACATGAGGCCTCCCTTCTCTTCGGAAGGGCCGAGGGGGGGGCTCTGGCCTCATGAGTGGTGCCCTGGCCTTTGGGAGGAAGGAAACTCCATATTCCAGGTGGACGAAGGGAGGAAACGGAGATCAGTTGTTCTCTAAAATTGTGGTGTGTTTCCATGCTCAATGTCCTTGGACTGTGATGCAGCTCGTGACATAGAGCCTGGTGAGAATATATCCAGCCACAAGGAAAGGGAGGGAAGGAAGGGGCAGAGGGAGGGAGGGAGGGAGGGAGGGAGGGAGGGAGGGAGGGAGGGAGGGAGGGAGGGAGGGAGGAGGACCTGTTTGGGAAGGAAGCCCGGGACTAGAAAGACCTCTGGGGAGGGCAATCATAGAATCATAGAGTTGGAAGAGACCTCATGGGCCATCCAGTCCAACCCCCTGCCAAGAAGCAGAAATATTGCATTCAAAGCACCCCTGGTCTGGTCTCCAGCAAGTACTCCCAGTTGGACGTGAAGCGGAGAAGAGCGGCCTGGCTGCAGACGTCTGTCCAAGAGGCTTCCATTTTGGGTGAGAAGCCCCAGCAGCTCAGGCCCCGGGAGAGAGGGAGGGTGCCTCATGGGGTGGGACCCCCTTTCCTCCCTCCCTGGGGGTCCCAAAGGCCTAAGGTATGGCAGGAATGTGCTGGATCTCTTGTGAAGAGGGCAGGAAGAAGGGCCCAGAAGAAGACCCTGGGTGAGCAGAGCTGGGTCTGAATATCATAAGCCTTTATCCCAATTTGGGGGGTTCAAACACAGTGGAAGAAATCCCACATTATCTGCTTTGAACTGGGGTATATGGCAGTATGAACTCAGCTATCCCAGTTGTGGAATTTTGTGCCTTTGGTCTTAATAATAATAATAATAATAATAATAATAATAATAATCATCATCATCATCATCATCATCTTTATTTGTACCTCGCCCCATCTCCCCGATGAGGACTCGGTGTGGCTTACATGAGGCCAAGCCCAAAACAACAATTACATGAAATAAAAACAAAACCGAAAACGCAAAAAAATAAACAATAACGCAATTACATAAAACACAATAAACACAATCACGGTAACATGGGCGAGCTACATGTAATGGATAAAAGAAAATTGGGTAGAAACAGATTTAAAACTCAGGCGAGATAAACACAAGAGAAACAAGGACAGATTATTTGCGGAGGAGAGCTCGTTTTAGTGGAGGTCATAAAGCAAAACTTTCCTATGGGGGGAAATGCACTGCAATAACAAAAGCGGTTAAACTAAACCCTAGTATGAGGATGTAGATCTACTCATCAAATGTGCAGCGGAAGAGCCAGGTTTTGAGGTTCTTTTTAAAGGTTTCTAGGGTAGAGGCTTATTTATTTATTATTTCAATTACTTATACCCCGCCCTTCTCACCCCCGAGGGGGGACTCAGGGGAGGCTTCTTCTGGGTTCTATGGCTGTGTTGAAGGGCTCTAGGAAAGGCTCAGAAGGAAACCTCATTCATGGGGAGAAGAAGGCCTTCCTCCTGACCTTGCTGTGTCTATTCCTCTCCATTTTGGGAGTGATCCTGGACTCATAGCTGAGCCTGGAGCCCCAGGTTTCAGCAGTGGACAGGTGAGCTTTTGCACAATTAAAACTTGTGCGCCAGCTGCGCCCGTACCTTGGGAAGTCTGACTTGGCCACGGTGGTCGACGCTTTGGTTACATCCCGTTTAGTTTACTGCAACGCTCTCTACGTGGGGTTGCCTATGAAGACTGCCTGGAAGCTCCAATTAGTCCAACGTGTGGCAGCCAGAATGCTAACAGGAGCAGGGTACAGGGAGCATACTACTCCTCTGTTGCGCCAGCTCCACTGGCTGCCAATTAGCTTCTGAGCACAATTCAAAGTGCTGGTGTTAACCTATAAAGCCCTAAATGACTCCGGCCCAGTTTACCTGTCCGAACATATTCTCCCCTATGAACCATCTAGGTTGTTAAGATCGTCTGGAGAGGCCCTGCTCTCGGTCCCACCAGCCACTCAGGCACGTCTGGTGGGGACGAGGGACAGGGCCTTCTCGGTGGTGGCCCCTCGACTCTGGAACTCTCTCC